TCCATTTTTTTGTTTTCCATTTTTATATTTAGCTGTTGCATCAAATATTTTTGAAGCATTTCTACATGCACAAAAGTTAAGAATGGATAAAAGTAATTTTAATTTTTACTTCATGCAGATCACTTCAATTTAGCTAACAGAAAGGCCTATGAATAAATGTTCCATAAATTTGTCCAATTCCTTTTAAAAGTTCTCCAAATTGGTGGCAGCTCTACATTTTGTAGTAGATTCTATAAATTAATTATCACTATGTGAAGAATTACTTTTTTTGCATATTTTCTAAATTGTCCAATCAGCTTCACAGGATGCTTATTATAATTTGCATTGATTTTTTTTGGATTTATTCAACTCCTGGAAATGATTTATTGATTGACATATATAGATTGACAGATATGAAACAGTAATAGATTGAGGGGTGTCTTTAAAACAATTTTAAAAAGTTGTTTAAGGAACTTCACCACCCTTGTCACTTGACCAATGATGATGACACAGAATCACAGCAACAATTTGGCTACCACTAAAATCAGTCTATCGGTCTTATTTTTTTGCATCAGACTTGTTATATATGTGACTTGCACAAGATTAAATAACTGTCATATTTTCAAGAATCCTTTGGACATTAAGTATTTACTTTTGGAATTTACAATAAATGGCATTTTCATCATCATCTTCAACATCATTATATTTTTATCCTACCCTTTTTATATTTGGTCATCCCAAGGCAGTGAACATAGATAATCCTGCCTCCTATTTTCACCACAACTATAAGCCTGTGAAGTGAGTTGGACTGAGTTGAGAGACAGAGTGACTGGTTTCTAGGCCAGCACCTTAGCTACTGCACCAAAGTGGTTTCATATACATACATGTTGCATATGTATGTACACTTTTATAAAAATAAAAGATGATAATGACAAAAAATGGAGTCAAACAACTGGCGGGATCTGAAGATAATAATACTTAATCCTATGCAGTATGCAAATTATCCAGATATTCCCAAAAAAGTGGGGGTAAGTAAGCTTCCTCTGCCTTTTAATATTGTTTATCCTTGCTATTATTTGTTGTCATTCCATTTTTATTTTGTTTTAACTATATTTTTGACATGAATTTATGAATTTTTATCTGCCCAGAGCCACTTAGATAGTGAGAGTAGTGGTGCCTAAATTTGATGAATAAAGCTATTGTTGCCATATGATTGATAACTGGATGTTGTATTATTGAATTAAGGTATCTCAAATAGGCCAACTTACAGAATGTGTTCAAAATCCAGGACCTGTGACTTCTGAGGGAATGAAATTTGGGGAAGTTGTGTCTGCTTCAATGCAGCTGGCTGCTGCTCCTGGGGTCATATGATCTTCATTTTCAATGTTCCATGACAGTTTCCCAGCCAGTCTTGTAATCCCTTGCTCCCTCTCCCACCCAGCAGCAGCCACTTTCCTGCCTGCAGGGAAAGGAAGAGAAGATTTCCAATGTTCCTTGCCAGATTCCCACAAGGAAACTCAATGAAGAAGCCAGCAGGAAGTTGGAAGTTGCCCTTGCTACCATTGCTTTTTTTAAATCTGTTCTTGGTCATTCTGTTTCTCTGTTTTGGTAAAGAAATATTTCCGAAACAGTGTCCCAATGGAACACAGGATGTCTAGTAAAATTCTTCTCTTCTTAGTTCTGTATCATTCTGTAATCAAGCATTAATTAAAATATACATTGTCAGAGGATGAGAGGCCTACGAGGATGGTTTAGGCTTCTGTATAAATTACAGAGCAGATTGCACAAGTAAAACAAGAAGCCCATGTTACTTACAATAACTACTTCTTCAACATGAGAGACAATAAAAATAAAGAAGACTTAGAGAAAAAGTTCTAAATCAAGATGAATTCCTGACAAACTTATTATGGTTTGGCCAATGCCTCACTTTAGGAGAGATTTATTGTGTACTTGTACTTCCAAGGTTGTATTTAAAAATAAAATAAAAATAAAATGCTGTAAACAGAGTAGAGCTGTAATGCAGTGGATCCTATAGTCTATAATTAGATTTTATCCTTTATTATTGCCATTGTCCCTTTCCCCAGAAGCTTTGTTTGCTTTTCTATGTTAACTTCTGGCTGACAATACATTCTCATACAACAACTCTTATCTGCAATATTTGTATTCTCCTTTCATGAATTTCCATCTATGAGGGAAATGTTTCATTTAATTTATGAAATCTGCAATATCAAAGGATGTTATAAACTAAAATGTTGTCACCTATTATATTATGTTCCAGAAGGCCTTGGAAAAACCCACATCAGAATTTCATAGAATTATGGCAATTTATAACACCTTGAAAGTTTAGGGAAAGGAGGTGGGGGAGCAAATCTTCCAAATTCTATTTCCTCTTCAGTCAATAAATCTGCACAAAGAAAAACATATGCTCTTAGAAAAGCCCACACTGCCAGCAGACATACAACCAGCTTGGCACATTTTGCACAGACCACCAACTGCAAAAGTACTTCACTACAAATAATGTGATTCATGTCAGAGAAAAATGGGGAGCTAGCCAAGACACACTAGAATTATGGCCAGGGGCCAGATTCACAACTGTTGGGGTACGGATACACTCTGCCAGCATCCTTTAATATATAGGGAGGCCTTTCTTCATTGTTCCAAGAAGGCCAAAAGAAAGTCAACACTAATTCAAGAAGTTCCTTTGCATCTGAGAGCCTACCTTAAGGCAAGGCCTAGATAAGCATAGTAAACTAATTCAGTTATAAAGCACTTTCTTTAAATTCTAACTTTCCTCTTTCCTAAAGGAATCTCAAAACATGGTTCAACAGAATCTGGTTAATGAAGAGGAATTTATGACCCAGTTTGTAAGATCAGATCCTTATCCAAGTGCTTAGAATAATTTTAATGATTGTTGCCATTATGCTTTATTTCTATGCTTGCTTTCAGCTGATTGAATAAAGTCATACACACAACAATGAAATGTCTATGGAGATTGTCAGCCATCCAGGTCATGGTTATCCCAAAGGTGCTTTTATAAGAGGCAATTAGACTATCTTGTTGTTGTTGTTTTTTGAAGATGTTTCGCTCAGTGGTGGGTTTCAAATTTTTTTACTACCGGTTCTGTGGGCATGGCTTTTTTGGTGGGTATGGCTTGGTGGTCATGTGACTGAATGGGCGTGCCCAACTCGACATCACTCACGGCAAGGTGGGGCAGCACCTTGCTGGGAGTGACATTGAGTTGGCCACACCCACTCAGTCACATGACCGATGCTGCAGAGATAGGCCGATTTCCTATGTACCTCCCCCCACCTTGGGCTGACAAAATAAAAGCCTGCCTGCCAAGCCTGCCTGCCAAGCAGCCCAGATTGGAAAATGTATGGCTGGGGCGGAAAAATGTTTAACAAACTCCAAACAATAATGCAAGCCTGGGTTTTGTTTTGGGGTGGTTTTTTGTTTTTTGCCAGAAGCCCCTTGGAGATGCACTATTTTTTACTGAAAAATTTCTGCACCGCCAAATCTTACTGTACCTCATTGTTACAGCACTGCTTGTTGCTGCTGTGGTCATCGGGGCTGCCCAAGTAAAGAACCGCACTGGCTCAGCTCAGGGTGACTGTGAGAAGCAAGAGGGGAAGCCAAGGCGCTTGCTCCATAGTGGCCAACTTCACATGTTCTTGCTCCCATGCGCACTTTCCTACTCCGGTTTGGTGCTCCCGAAGTAAGGAGCAAGAAGGGAGGCAGACACCAGTCCAAGAAGCCGAGAGCAAAAGTAGCGGTGGCAAGGGTGACAGGGGCATGTGACATGTCCCTCCATGGTCCCCTCCCAGGTGACAGCAAGGGCTTTGCCGCCGCCTCTTTTCTTCAGAGGCACAGTGTCTGCCTCCAAGTCCTTGCAGAGGGACACACACACACATACCTCTGTCACCCCCGCTGCTGCTACTTTTGTTCTCGGCTTTTTCTCAGCGCTCTTAAAGTCAGACAGTGCCTCCTCTTTTCCTCAGAGGCATGGTGTCTGCCTCCCTTCACACTCCTTGTGGAGGGAGTTACACACACACATGCCCCTGTTGCCCTCGCCACCACTACTTTTGCTCTTGGCTTCTTGGCGCTCTTAAAGTCGATCTTGAAGAGCTGGAAGAAGTTTCCTTAGAACCTCCCAACTCATAGTTCGGAGAGGTGTAGGCTAGCCCCTGAATATATGAGACGTCTTGGGCAAAGCTCTTCCACAGTTCGGCCAAGTCTTCTCCTCCTTCTCAGCCTCGTATCACAGAGCAAACATGCACAGTCGCACACACCTCACGGTGCACAACAGTGGGTTGCAGAGTTGAACTGCTAATAAAAATGTACACAACTCTTTCAAACATTTCCAGGTCACTGATTTACACTATTTCATTTTCCGATTGAATTTTCTGATTCAATTAAAACCTCAGCACAACCAATCAATACAAATGCAGCTGCCCACTGTCAGTCTGTTCCAAGCAGACGCCTAGGAGGCAGATTCTGCAACCTATAATCCTTGTTTCTATTCCAGACTACCACCGTCATAAACCCCTGTGCCTTTTTTCTTTTTTCATTTAGATTCAGTCCTGAATACTGCAGTCATTTTCCATGGCATTTTCTGCCCTGAAAAAACCCAAATAGAGAACTTCAAGTCTGGGATAAAAGTGTTTATTTTTCCACAAATTTAAAAGTCAGCAAATAATTCCATATTATCATTGCCTTTGTGAATCTGAATGACTAACAATGGTATAAAAATATAACATATGATATATGTTATACTAAATTAGGTTTGGATGATTGCCACTCCTATCTTTACAAAGATGACTTGGCCTGTGACACTTGTATGTACCTTTACGTCTAATGCCATTCAATTTCCATATTCTTCTGCCAAGGCATACCCAGAGTGTGTTGAAAGTTGGAATTTCTTTCAAGTTTTAACTCGAAGATATTAAACGAACAGGTTTCAACACAGAGATACTCAAGATAAAATTTGAGACGTTTCCTCCCAGAAAATTAAATATACTTACCACAAGCTCAGAGAACCTTGCATTCAGTTCTTCGGCTGGTGGGATTGGCACTGAGAACTCCAAGAACTGCAGAGGGTTATTGTCCTTGAGGTTGATTTCAGGCAGATCACTCCGCCCAAAGCAGCAAAGAAACCCCAAAGCATGACGACTCCGTTTTCGGGGAGCCATAGTCATCGTGATATGGGATGCTATCTAACAGTCATGATCTGCAGAGAAAGGAAAAGAAACATTATAAAGACTCCAAATGAAGGTCCATGAATGGAATGCTTTGAGATAACTACAGCATCTAAGCAAGCTTTTGAAAAAAATGAGAATGAAAGAGGTACAGGCAATGTTAAATAATAAAATGACTAATAAACACTGTCTTGCAAGACTTTCTCTAGGGTATCTTAGTGGAAAATATAAGGCAGTAAACTAAGCAGCTTTTAGCCCTGTGAATCAATTCTGGTTTTGTTTCTTTGTTTGTTTAACCCAGAACAGTTTCATTCATTTGGGACAGAAAAATAACTATATAATATATGTGCCAGAACTGGATACAAGTTAGAAAAAAACATATGATCTAGTCATATGTTTATATGCAAAAGAGATGCCTGGAACATCTTTGGAGGAAGACTGAGTCCGATCAAACATGAAAAAGACACCATATTTGGGATTATATTATACTGATAAGAGTGAAAAATATTATTTCACAACCCTTATTGTATTTACTAATGGCTATCTGGTGTCCCTTTTTAGGCTGACTTGTTCTTTGTTGGACATGCGCCACAGGAATACCCTGTTTCCCCGAAAATAAGACATCCCCTGATAATAAGCCCAATTGGGCTTTTGAGCGCATGTGCTAAAATAAGCCTCCCTCCTAAAATAAGCCCTCCCCGAAAATATTTAAACGCAGAGCTGGAAATCAGGTAAGACGGCAAGAGGAACCCCATCTTGCTCTACGCATCCCAAAATAATAAGACCTCCCCGAAAATAAGGCCAAGCACTTATTTCGGGGTTCAAAAAAAATATAAGACAGGGTCTTATTTTTGGGGAAACACAGTATCTACAGGGCCAATATGAAGAATATTCTCATTATTTGGCATAAAGTTGCTCTGATTTACTTAATATTGGACTCCAACTGGACAGATCTGGTTTCCTGGTCCTGGAACAGAGTCTTGTGGGAATACCTGGATCAAGTTTGATTCTAAGACTCTTGATGAAGTGGGTAGGGTTCTTCAGACTGTGAGCTTGGTCATCTGCTTATTAGATTCAGATTTCTCCTGGGTGGTTAAAAACATCTAGCAGATGACCTATGGTTAAGTCAGTGTGGTCATATCAGCTTCTTTAAGAGAGGGAGTATTTCTTTGAACTTAAAGAAGCAATGGTGTACCCCTCAAAAAGCCACAGATGAACCAACAATTCTGGACATCTGGTCTCCAGCTTTCCCTCTGTGGGAAGGTGGTTAGGCAGCAGCCTTTAAAGGATCCTGGAAGAAATGGATTATCTGGATCCATTTCCTGACTGGGCACAGTAAAGAGATCGCTTTGATCATACTTCTCAGTGATCTCTGACAGAGCCTGATGAGAGATGGTGCATCCTTCCTAGTGCCTTCTGAACTAGTCGAGAGGATTTACAGTAAAGGTATGATGCAGAAGGTTCTCCTCCTTCCTTTGTACTTTGATCTCAGTTGGTATTGATGGGGGAAGAGACTGAGTCTTTTGACCCTTCATTTGTGGCCTGCCTCAAACTCAGCACTCTATTTGCTTAACAGCTATATAAAACTGCTGGGTGAAGCTATTTGCTGGTTTGGAGTGAGCTATAATCAGTATGCTGACAATATCCACTGCACATCTCTTTCATGGCCCAACCAAGCAATACTATTAGGATTTTGTCCCAATGTGTAGAGACTGTGTGGGCCTGCATGGGGAGGAACAGACTCAGGCTCATTTCTGACAAGAGTAAGTGGATGTGGATATTTGGAGCTCCCAGTTCTAGAGATTTTCCAAAATTAGTCTCGAATGGGATTGTGTTGTGCAGTCAGGAGGTTGTCTTGGATTTATAATTCCTTCTTAAGAGCAGGAAGCAATTGTGGCCAAGGGGGCCTTTACACAGATTCATCTAGTGCACCAGTTATGTCTGTTCCTTCATATCCTCTCGTGATATACAGTAGTCACCCAGTCACTCAGAAATAAGACTACTACAATGTACTCCATATGGGACTGCCATTGAAAATGTTGGTAATTAGGCAGTGATGCTCATGACACATTCTATCCATGTGATGCTACTGCTCCATTAGCTGCAGTGGCTACTAGTTGACTTCTGTGTGCCATTGAAGATGCTGATTATCATCTATACAGACCTTAATGGCATAGAGCCTAGCTATATGTGGGAGTGTCTATTTCTGATTGTTTCTTGAGTACTCTCCCAGAGTCCTGGGCAGAGTGGTAGTTGAATCCTTTATGATGTTTGATTCTTATACAGAGTTTCCCTTCTGTACACTTATGATTTGTTACTTTTTTGTTGTTCTTGCTTTTTTTAAAATTAAGCTGCCCAAAGTTATTTGTAGGTGGGCATTCTTTAAACTGTATTAAATAAACTGCTTAAACTTAAGTCCAAAATGTAAAACTGTGAATGGACCAGAAAACAATATTTATGAATTAATCATATTTGTAAGACTAAGATGTCGTGCAAAATAGCTAGGATAGGGAAAAAATACAACTATTGAGGATCTTTTGAGTGATGACCAATAAGTAAAATCCTGGCAACAATAAGCAATGGTTTATTCCATTATATACCTCCTCAGTCACAGTTCCAAAAGTCTGGAAACTTGAGCTTCTGATTTCAATTAAACTCAAAAATATTTTGTTTTGCATGGCATGCACCCCTATGATGTAGAGAAATTTAACTAGGAACAGTTGAAACAAGCTGGTGGACATGTTTAAAAATCAGCAATGTTATATAGATTTAAAAGCTAACAGCTTAATGCTGGGCCTCAGCTGTCAAACTGAATAGCAAGACACAGAGATTATTTGTCAATGAAAATCACTGCTATTTTAGTGGTTTACCAGAATTTAATTTTGGTAAAATATGGACAGAAACAATTAATTGTAGTTGGCATTGCTTTCCATGCCTAAAATAAGGGCCACAAATATGTAGGTCAAACCTTCTTGTCCTATAATTTACTAATTAGTCAAATAAATTAACTGTAAGCCAACCAATGTCAATTACAAATTAATTAATTTAGTTTGTTTATTAAATTTAAATGCTACCCATCTTTCCTGGGTGACTGGGTGACTGGGTGACTGGATGACTCTAGATGGCTTGCAAACATTAAAAACTATTGCACATTAAAATAATGAAGCAAAAAATAACAGTAATAAATACTGTCAAAGATGGAAAGAGGGGAACACGAAGTATGTGGAGAGAGGTAGGGTCTTTCCTAATCTAAAAGCAACCTCCAGAGTGGTGTACCCCTCTTAATTCCTAACTCTTAATTCCTAGAGACAAGAGCTCTGTGGAATTTCATTGAAAAACAGTGGGACAACATCATCAGCCAGTCCCCAATAATGCAGCCAAGGTAGCAAATACTAAGAATTATAGTTCTTTAGAATTTGGAGGTGCTTTAGGAATGCTTTCCTCCTTGCCGTAAACTTGCCCTTGACAACAGACCACAAGAAATTAGCAGAAATTAATGCCTAGTTAATCATAGACTATCATGCTTAGTCAACAGCAAGCTGTTGGATCAACTAGCCAGCAGTTAATCACTACACATTGTTGGGTCAACTTGCCACCAGTTAATCACTATCCTGCAGCAATTCTGAGTAGACCTATGGCTTTACATAAGTCTATGGCTGATACTCGGAGGCTGGATGACAGCATAGCCACCTAATATATCTTTTCCAATTTACATTCTGAGAGCAACTCTGTGCTTGAAAGGTTTCTTGAATGAGAAGTCTGAACTGCCTACAGAAAGCCAAGGAGGGGAAAATGCTTAGATCTTAGCACACTGCACAGGCTGTGAGTCCTACATCCAAACAGGAAGTCTCCTGCCAGGAGTCTGAAAGGAAGGATCTGTGCAGTCCACATGATCCTGCATATTTTGTCCTTTTAAGGGACTAGTTGTCCAGCAGCTTGGAGTTTATTTGTGTTATTCCTCCCACCCACCCCCAAGCATTTCATCCTTTTCATTTAATCTGCAGAATAAACTACATTTTGAGTGTAAATAATTAAAGCTGTCTTTCAAAACACTGGCTCCTCGAAGCAGAAGGGAACAAGGTGGCAGGTGAACAAAACCACTCAGTGCTACATCAACAGCTGAGTTTTGTCCAGCAGGCTGCTGTAACTGATTCACTTTAATCAGCCCTAAGACACACTGTGTTGTTTATTTGCCTGAACAAGGCTGCCTTGTGCCCTTGTGAAGACCAAGCACGTGCCCTAGAAACATTACCTTTTCCAATGGTAGTGGTAGAACTAAGTTACAACATCGAACAAGCTGCATTCAGCAAAGTCCAAATATGCCACCCTAACCCTTAAAAAAGAACCAAGACCATTGAAATATCATTGTTTGGTTCCTGATGTTTCTTCTTAATCTATTTTATGTTTTCCTTTCCATATTAGTGAAAACTGACTGGTTTAAGAAAAATAAAGAAAGGGGGTCTAAATTCTAAGAATCTAAAAATGTAACTTTCTTTTTGCCCAAAAGAAAAGTTGAGATCTCCAGAATTAATAGTGACTATTAAGCCCACTTCTTATGAATGCAAACGATTTCATGCGAGATCATTCACTTTGAAACAGCCACCGAGAAGCAAATTACTATGCCTTTGTTATTATTATGTAAAAACATAAAACATAAAGTTGGAGAGAAAGACATGAAAGTCGAATAGCAGTGTTCCAATATCCAAGGGGCTGCCACAAAGAAGAGGGGGTGGGGGGGGTCAACCTATTCTCCAAAGCACCTGAAGGCAGGACAAAAAGCAGTGGATGGAAACTAATCAGAACCTAGAACTAAGGAGAAGTTTCCTGACAGTTAGAATTAATCAGTGGAACACCTTGCCTACAGAAGTTGTGAATGCTCCAAACACTGGAAGTTTTCAAGAACAGATTAGACAACCATTTGTCTGAAATGGTATAGGGTTTCCTGACAGAGCATGGGGTTGGACTAGAAGATCTCCAGGGTCCCTTCCAACTCTGTTATTCTATTATTCTGTAAATCAGAATGACCAGCAAG